TCATTTTTTATTTAAACTAAAATCAAACTCTACATATAATTAATACTGGAATCAATATAATACATATCTTTTATTTTACATAATTTTATTAAAACCTTTATTTTCAGGATTTTTTTATACAAAAACAAAACTATGAACTATCTAAAACAATTTAAAAAACTTACACAAGTTAAATGAAAAAATAACAAATGAATCAGACTTTTATATATCTAGAATGGTCATAATACTAGCTATTATTGTCACTTTATGCAATCACGTGTAGAAAAAAAAGGTTTCAGTGAGGTTTTTGACTATTGTTGCAAATGAGTATATATCATGAACTAATATAAGCAAATTGCAAAAATATTCAACAATTATGTCAATATAAGTAACAACACAATATTTGCTTGATGAATATAAGTATTTTATGAAAATATATGTAGAAGATAAATTGATATGTATTATGATATAATAATTCCCTTAGTACACCTTATGATTATAATCAATATTTTCATATTTTTTTAATGATTTTTAACCAATTACAAAGTTAGATATAATAAAAGATTGATATATAAGACTTATTAACTATATATATATATAAAATATTAAAAGAACAACCAATAATGATAAGTTAGATTCATATATCAAAGGTAATATTGATTCTTATTAGTTTAATATATAAATGTGATAATCTACTTATTTAGCTAACTTCAATAAATTTTTAAAAATTTTATTGTCATACACTAGTTAATATAATACTAATTCTTTTTTGGGCCTATTAGATACTAAAAAAATGTCTCTCTTTTATTTGCTAAATTCTTTTAAACTACTATTATATATCAGTGTTAAAAAAGGCATGTCATGACACGCATCATGGAGCGATATGACGCAAGGCGCCTCTCTGCCGTTACATAATGACTCATATTGTTTCTGTAAGGCGTGGCTCACGTTGTGGCGTCATGGCGCGCCGCGACACACGTTTTTTGTAACACGCAATTTTTTCCATTTTAATTTATTTTTTATCTTTTGTGTTTTTACACTTAACTTTAGATTTTACCTTTTCATAGATCTAACTAATCATGTTACTCACTGTTTTACAAATTCATAAATGTTATAGAGTCACGATTAAAATGAAGTTGTAAAATTACCTTTCTAAGTTCTATTTTAAATATTTAATGAAAAACCTATTTTTATAATCATAATCTATATGGTTTTTCTTCCTCTAATCTTGATGGTACATTTTTAATACCATCATCTGATTAGATAATATATATATATATATATATATATAATTCTACATATAACATACAAATTTCGCACTTTATGTCACATTTTGAAAAATGCCGCGTCCTTGTCGTGGTGTGTAAGGCTTGAGACTTGACGTTGCCGCTACGCCATGCCTCACGCCTTTTGAACGTTTGTATATACTAAAAAATTTGGGCCCCTATTTCTTGTGGGCCCTGAGCGTGCGCCCGGCCCACCCTCCCTCCCTCAAGGACGACTTTATTCCCATCGTAATTCTTTTCGTAGGTTTAGCCTTAGTTTCATGTCTGTGTTTTATCGGGCTTTTGGATGTGGCTCTTGTTGTATCTTTTTTATGTCTTGGATGTCTTTGATGATGGTTTTTCGTCTTTGTTCCTTTTTTCTTTCTGCATCTCCCCGTTGCTTATTTTGAGAGGCTTAAGTCTTTGTATTCTTGTTTGTTTCTAAAGCATGTTGTACCTAAAAAGATAATTAACTCCAAATCAAATTATATTTCAATACATTTTGATCTTAAATTTGCTGGAAATTTATTTAATGGAAAGGTCGGGATTCTGGAATAAAATGACGATTGGTGCGTCATTTTACTTTACCCTTTTTATTACCGCATAACACTTTCATAATTAATCGGAAAAGGTGGCATATTACTAGTTTAGAATTAGAAAAAACTATAAACAACTTTTTAAGATAAAAGATTAATAGACACCTATTGAACCAACATTTATTCTTTGTTTTAAATCTCCGTCGTGTACCTGATGATGGTTCATCAAATCCCAGCCGTTCATCTGAAACATAGTTGATCGACTTCAAATTTCATATTGTTAGCCCTCCAATTACTCAGAGCAAGTAGGGACCGTATGATCATATATCAAACGGTTGTGGTACTCCTAACGTGTGTTTTTTTCTTTTTTTCTCTTTTTGTAATATAAAATCCATTTTCCCCCTTTCTCTCTCTTATAGTCTAAAACAAACCCTAGCCATCTCTTTCTCTCTCCGTGGTAAAAAATATATAAAAATAAAAAAGTTAAATTTGAAAAATAATTCGGCAATTGATCTTCAATTAGGGTTTCGAATCAGAGGTCTGGTTTTGGGCGTATCGAATTCCCTGGTTGTTACACTCAAATTGAGGCTGAATCTTTTCTGATCTTCATTATTTCGATATTATCCATGAAAGGTACGCACGCGAGACCTACTTCTTTTGATTGCTTTGTTTTTGTGAAAATGACTATGCTTTTTGTGTTAGTTACGGTAGTTGTGCGGAAATGTTTATGGTTCTTGATGTATTTGTTGTTTTTTGTTACAATTTATGGTATACAGATCTGGAAGTGGGTTTAAGTCGTGTGAGATGGGATAGATGAATTGGGGATTTCGGTGTGGGTCGTTCAAATTGAGGGATTGTTGATGGAGATTAGTGTAGGAAACTCAGGAGGCAGTAAAACAAGGTCTTTAGATCTCAAAACACTTTATAAATCGGAGGTGAGTAATAAGGAAAAGAGTAGTTGGCTGGGAAATGGTGAGGAAGCCGAGACCAAGAAAAGAAAGAACAGGAAAGAGGTGGCTATTAGTAGCTTTGAGGATCTGACAGAGAGGAAAAAGATTAGGCCTAGCATAAATGATATTGAAATTGATGGGGCTGACTCTTGTTCAGCTCAGCCATCAGGGGTTGGTCAGAAGATAAATGGTGGCAGTGGTTTTAATGCCATTGGTATCAATATTGGTGGTGATGGCCATGGTCTACTTATTCCTAAGCGACCACGGGGATCAGTTGGACGGAGTAAGTTTGCTAAGAATCATCTTCTTAAGCCATCTGCAGCATCTGGTTCTGTTGAAAAAGTTGCCAAGTTAAAGGATGAGCTGAAGAAACTTATGCACAATGAAACTTCTGGCAGGGGTGAGCCTGTGGACAGTAACTCTTCGGCAGAACAGAATGTTAAGTTAAATGGAAAGTTTGGGATTAAAGCTAGAAGAAAGCAGAAGGGAGTGCTTGGTCACAAAGGTAGTGAAAAGCAGGAGCTGGCAGCAGTTACTTCATCTCAGTGTGCAAAGAGCGACGGTGGAGATTTGGTTAAGCCAACTGGTTCATCGGGTTCCAAAGATCAAGTTGCCAAGTTAAAATACGAGATCAAGGAATTTCCACAAAACAAAGTTCCTGGTGCAGATGCACACCTAAGCTGCAGTTCATTGGGTTCCGAAGATCAAGTTGACAAGTTGAAATATGAGATCAAGGAAATTCCACAGAGCATATTTCCTGGTGCAGATGCACCCCTAAGCAGTAATTCTACTTCTTCTGACCAGATGGGCAAGTTAAATGAAAATTCCAAGGGTAAACTTAGAAACAATGTTAAGAAAAAGGGAATAGATGATTTGGATGGAAATCAAAAGCAAAAGGAGGATTTGGCAGTAGCTGGTTCATCACAGCTTGTGATGGGGGATGGTAATGATATGGTTGTAAATAATAAAGATTCATCTTCTAAAAGAAACAATAGCAATCGTAGGAAAAGAAAGATGTTGGGATCAGGTGGTGAGACTGTTTCGAAGAAAGTCGAGTCATCTATTGAGAAAAAAGTAGGTACATGTGACCTTGATCCTGATGATGATCTTGAGCAGAATGCTGCAAGGATGCTGTCATCTCGTTTTGATCCTAGTTGTACTGGATTTGCATCAAGAAATAGAACTTCGGCTTTATTGTCTCCAAATGGGGTGTCTCTTTTGGAAAAACCTACTGCTAATGTTGTCAGTGAAGGGTCAATGGCTGTTTCCGATCCTGCTTCTGCTGATACTGCAGACAGAGTGTTACGCCCTAGGAGACAGCAGAAAGGGAAGGGCACATCTAGAAAGAGGCGCCATTTCTATGAAATACATTCTGATGACATGGATGCTCACTGGTTCCTGAACAGGAGGATTAAGATCTTCTGGCCTCTGGACGAAAGTTGGTACTATGGTCTGGTAAATGATTATGATGCAGAAAAGAATCTTCATCATATAAAGTACGATGACCGGGATGAAGAATGGATTAGCCTTGAAAATGAAAGATTCAAGTTATTGCTTCTTCCTAGTGAAGTTCCACATAAGACAAGCCATAAAGATGCTGCATCAGTACATACCAACAAGGAAGGTATCAACGAAGACAAGGGAAGCAGAGCCTTTCACATGAATGATGAGACTTTTATGGCTAGCCATATGGAATCAGAACCAATCATTTCATGGTTGGCTCGTTCTTCACATCGCGTCAAATCATCTCCTTCCACTTCTTTGAAAAAGCAGAAACTATCTCATTTTCCCTCTGAACCCCTGCTACTGTCCGACAATTCCATAGATGTGTATAATAATGGAAACATGGATCTGTTGGAAAGAGAAACTGATAAGCCGAACTGCAGCGCTTCCTTTCTGAATATATCAGTTGATAGCAGAAAGAATGAGGAGTCTGTGCCAGAAAATACTAATAGCAGTGAAGGACATCTACCCATTGTTTATGTCAGGAGGCGATACCGCAGGTTTAGTGATGCAGCACGTGTACTGTTTGTAAACAATAATGGATGCGTAGACCCTTCTGGACCTACTGCTTCTCTTTCTCGAGTGTTTCAGTCTTCAGCTGAAGGCAGTATTTTTCTTCCATGCTTAGGCCCTGGGGAGCTACATTGGTCATTGAATAGTGCAGGTGTGTTGAAGTTAAATACAACATTCTTAGAATCTAAGAAGTTCAAGATATGCATATCACTGTGGCCTATGCTGACATACATACTTGGGGTGGATATATTATGGCTGATTCACAGTGTATTGCTGCTTCAGTATGGCACCATGGTTACCATGTGGCCTACTGTGGTCTTAGAGGTGCTGTTTGTGGATAATATTGTTGGATTGAGGCTCTTTATCTTTGAAGGTTGCTTAAAGCAAGCTGTAGCCTTTGTTTTCCTAGTCATGGAAGTGTTTTGTGAACCTGAGAAAGATGAGTCTTTCGGCCAGCAAATTCCAGTGACGTCAATAAGATTCAAACTTTCTTTCTTTCAGAAACTTATAAAGCAGAAGGTTTTCACATATTATAGTTTCTCAAAAGTAAGAGATTCGAATTGGCAGTACCTTGATTCCGAGTTCCAGCCACATTGTTTACTCACAAAACAGCTGTCTCTACCTGAGTGCACATATGACAACATTAAGCTACTTGAAGCAATGCAGCCCTCACAGTTACGCTATGCTGGTCGAACTACTTACTTTGAGGTACTCTCTGAATGTCTCTCTTTATATGTCACTTGCCTAACATGTAATATTTGTTGATAAACTTTTATTCATAGCAGTCAGGCTTGTGGCTTAGGCATGGTCTTGACCTGAAATGTCCCATGGTGCACCTTGCACCATTTTCCAAAACCAGAGAAAAGTAAATTTGAACAAGTTGAAAGATAAGAGTGCAGAATTTTCATCCATAGCAGATCTATCTTAGTCCCAAATAATTAAGTTTAAAGTTTAGTAGTACTTCAATGCCAAAATGCAAAATAATGATCAAGTATAAATACAATAATATTCCACAATTGACCCCTCACCAAATTGAAATTAAGCTATCTTTTGAATAAAAAGATGCCAGAGCTGCAGTGGTCAGCTGTTGAGCAACATAAGCTATGACAAAAAAAATACACGATGATGCCTGAATACAATATATTGGTGCTTTTAGTCTGAACATGTTAAATTAGAAAAAGGAACAGTGTATTGATGATTGAAAATTAAAAAGTTTATATGCACTAGAGAAGTTAAATCTGAATAAGTAATAACATAAAACAGTTAGCAAATATGGGAACAACAAATTGATGATTTTACATGTTAAGTGATTCTAATAAAAAATACATATAAACCACAAGGGTGGTGCCTGATTGGTTTGAACTTGGCTCCAAAGGTCAAAAGTACCAGGATGTCCCAGGTTCAAATCCAAGAAGGAATAAAAATCCCCTTGTGGCCACGGAGGTTCAAATGCGGTGACTCCGGGCTATCTGCAAATCAGGTGGTCGCCCTGGGATTAGTTGGCTTGCATAGCGGGTTGGATATCTAGGTTAATAAAAAAAAAATAAAAAAATAAAAAATACATATATGCTAAGAGGAACTGACCAAGAAGTAGAGTCCTAGAGGCACTGTTTCTGTCAGAAGATTGAAGAGAACAAGTGCTGAACATCTGCAGAGGAATCATTCAAATTTGGAAGAACTCAAGAAATACTATTAGTGTCTTTGCTTTTGGTCAGGTCTTGAGTCTCTTTTGTAGTTGAAGAAAAGGCTTCACTGGGCTCATACTGTGTTAAAATTAGGAATACTTAACAACTTTGATTTTGGATTCCTCAAATGGGTCCAAACATTGACCCTAGCACCATTAAGCCACACAAACATTGGCCTACTTTGCACTTTGGGTCTTATGCATGTGCCTTTTTTCCAGCTGCGCCATCATATATGGCAAGGCTCCACCTTCAGAAACACTATGCTTTAACTGCCATGGCGCTGGCCTTGACAATGATTTGAAATTAAACGGAAGAAAGGACTTGTAGGCCTTTAAGCTCTGAGAAGTGTTGTAAAATAGTTGCATGTTAAAATTTTAAATTAGTGTAAAATAGTTGCATGTTAAAATTTTAAATTATTTATCACTTTGGATTAATCATTGGAGTGTTTCTGTCTTGCAGGTTCTCCGTAAGAAGTCAAATTGTGGTGCTGTTCTATCGTTCAATACGTCTAGATCATCCTACCCTGCATCTGGGAGTCGGCCTTCAACAATTTACAGTTTGAAGCACGGAAATCTTCCTCCATTTGCTCTCTCATTTACTGCTGCCCCAAATTTCTTCCTTAGCTTACATCTGAAGCTTCTGTTGGAACGTAGTATCACCTCCGTCAGCCTTCAAGACCATGATTCTGTTCGTTCCCTTAATTATCCACGAGATACATTCCATCCATGTGCAGATGATTGTAGTCAAGGTGAGGATCAGTTTGAGATTTTTTCAGAAAACTCTTCTAAGAGTCATGAGGAAATGTCTTCTCTTGATGCTGCTGGTTCTGGGGTGGTTTGTACCAGCTCTCGTCTTTGTAAGGATGCTGCGGTAATAAGCATTGATGGAGGTCTGAGGAAGTCATCACAACTTGTTCCTGATGCAAAGTTAAATGTTAATAGAACTTCTATCTCTTCCAAAGATGCTGAAACCGTTCCAGTTGAGATCGGAAATTCAGATAAATACGAAGCCAATGTGAAAGATCAAGCTGTGTCAGGTGCCATGTGCTCATCTTACTTGAAAGGTATTAGTGTTGAAGTTCCTACATCTGATGTAGTTTATAGGGATTGTCGGAAAACACCTGGTGCCCAACAGGTGTCTGATCTGACTTGGAATTTAAGTGATGGCATCATCTGCAGTCCCAATCCTACAGGCCCTAGAAGTTTGTGGCATCGAAATAAATCTGGCTCAATCTCTTCATCTTTTGGAGATCCATTGCATGCATGGCCTGAGGGAAGGGCAGATTTTATTGGCAATGGCTTTGGTAATGGGCCTAAGAAACCAAGAACTCAGGTCCAGTACACATTGCCTTCTCGAGAGTTCAATTTTAAAAATAAAGGCCATAATCAAATTGGTCTTCCTTACCAGAGAATTAGGAAAGCAAATGATAAGAGGACATCAGATTCTTCTAAAGGTCCACGGAGAAACCTTGAGTTGGTGGCTTGTGATGCGAATATCTTGATCAATGGTGGGGACAAAGGGTGGAGGGAATGTGGTGCCCGGGTTTTCTTGGAAGTTGCTGATCAGAATGAGTGGAAACTTGCAGTGAAATGCAATGGGGAGTTGAGATACTCATATAAAGTTCATCAGGATTTACAGCCTGGGTCAACAAACCGCTACACCCATGCTATGATGTGGAAAGGAGGGAAGGACTGGGCACTCGAGTTCCCAGACAGGAGTCAATGGTTCCTTTTCAAGGAGATGCATGAAGAGTGCCATAATAGGAACATACGGGCAGCATCAATAAAAAACATCCCTATTCCTGGTGTTCGCCTGATTGAGGACTCGGTTGAGGACCAAGAAGAGATGCCTTTCATCCGCAGTCCCTGGTACTTTCGGCAGGTGAGAAATGATGTTGAAATGGCTATGGATGGATCGCATGTCATATATGACATGGACACTGAAGATGAAGAATGGATTTCCAGGAGCAGGGCATCTTGTCAGATGCAGGGGGGTGAAGACAATATGATCTCTCATGAGCTTTTCGAGAAGGTCATGGATATGTTGGAGAAGGTTTCCTATGCTCAGAAGCGTGATCAATTTACTTCTGGAGAAATCGATGAGCTGATTGCCAGAGTAAGTCCCATGCAAGTGGCAAAATCAATTTATGAGCATTGGCGGGAAAAGAGGCTACGGAAGGGCATGCCACTAATCAGACAACTCCAGGTATGTCTCAGAATTCGAACCCTTCATATTTACTTTGGTGCTTTATTTGTTTTTACACAGTTTGCAAGTTATAACTAGGTTTTGTGTCACTGACTGAGGCTCATCTTGCTCATGCCTTGTAGAATTCTCCTGCATTCATTACATTGTAAATGAATGGACTATGATTTGTAGATTCATCTATTTTGTGCTTCTGTTAAAGTATAAATTGTTTCCGCAACCTCTATATATTTGCATCTCTTGCGTTAATAAGTTCAGGCAAGTAATTACTAATAAGATAACCTGATATATTCATATAATTTCATCCTGTTACCTTGTTTCTACAATCTTTTCTTTATTTGTCTCCATCTTTGTAAGCATAAAGGAGCTAAACTTGCTGCTGTGTTGCTTCTATAAAGAATTAGAGCTGAATTTACTGACAATGAGCTTATTTGATAGAGCTACCATTCCTTATATATGCTGTTTGTTTTCCTTCCTTGTTCATGTTGGTGATATAACCCGATATACTAAAATTATGGTAGCATCAGTTCTATTATGAGAAGTGATCAATTCACGCAGTCGAAGGTTGTGTCATTTGTAAACACCCTACATATATTTAAGTTCATCTAGATGAATGTTTAATCTGGCCAAATGCTGTTGCAGAGTTTCAGATTTGGACATAGGCACATTTGATTCTGTAAGAAGGAGGTGTGGTTAATCAATGACTCTGTGGCACCATCCACAGCAGGTGGAATTTTAGAACTTAGCATGGAAATTTATGTTTGCAACTTCCAGTACTTGATTAACAGAAATTTTTGGGAATATAAATAGGAAACGCTATCATGAACATAAATGTGAAGGGACCGAAGGATACCATGATTCCAGGGTTTCAAATGCTTACTGCTGTATCGCTATATTAGGAGGTTTCAGGAGGGGCAAAGCGCTATTTAATGTTTAGATGTGTCTCTTTAGAGACTTGGGAGATAAATTTAGTACAAGGAGCAACCAGGGGAGGACCTATTAGGAGGTGAGCGGGCTCCCGTGCACTCACACAATCGATTATTGCAAGAAAAAATTTTAGTCGTTTGATAGGTGCACCCGCTTGATTTTCAGGGGTGGGATGGTTGGATTACCACTTTATATACAAGAGGTCACGAGCTCGAATCTTTCAGGTGAAAGTTTACTTTTTTATATACAAGAGGTCACGAGTTCGAATCTTTCAGGTGAAAGTTTACTTTTTTATCTTTTAATTTTAGGCTCCAAGGCTAGCCCAGAGCATTTCAGCCCCTACAGTGCTATTTCTGAAAATATTAACAGCAAAAATATAGTTAGAAGGATTGAACTCACAACCTCAAGCACAATTATAAGCATTACTACCACCATGCCAAGACACTTTTCTGTTAATTTTTCTCTCTTTTGGATTTTATTATTTTTACATGATCTAATTTTCTTCCCATTGTCTATTCATCTTAATAATTGTTGCTTTTTATCTCATTTTCAAGGCAACATATATTTATTTTAAGGATCAAGGTCAATTCCATTTGAAAAATGCATCTTATTCCTCAAATCGACACAATTGACTTTTCCCTAGGCAAACCGTGTTGACTTTCTCCCCAGGTCATACCGCGGATTTGCCAATTGTTGATCCACCTTAAAGGTGCACAGTGCACCTGCTCAAAGAAATTCCTGGATCCGCCACTGGGAGCAACACAGACTGTTTTGCCCTTTGTGAGATCATTGAATGTTGGATGGATCAAATTCACTGTCAGCACCTGCATTAGATTTTTGTTTCAGGCTTAGATCATTGTTGACGTAGATAAATCATTCGTGGCACGGAAGGCTGTTTCCTGGTTTTTAAAATATCTTTGGCCATATGTGATGTAATTTTTTTCTCTTCCTCATTTACTATTTTGCCTGATCAAACTGTCAAGGTTGTGATCTTCCTGACACGCTCCATCTTATATCTCTTATAGAAGTTTTCTTTCCATCCTTGATGTTGATGTTCGAGTTGCGTGTATAGTTGTCACCTCAACCCCATTTATATTGTTTTGCTGGCTAGGTGATTCAACATGTCATTTTATTTATGTGAAGTCTAGGCAGTGTGAATGAATACGAACATTAGATTTTCTTATGCTGCGTGACTGGAGTTTTGCTGCAACAGGGTGATATTCTGTCAGCAAATTTGTATTGTTCCAAGGAATCATCTATGGATACATTACTCGTTATGTGCAATTTCTATTTTTCAATATTGCCATTAAAAACTACTACTTTATCACCCTCTTACGGTTTTATGATACCTGTCCTAATTCCTGGAATGCTTATTATGATTTGGAAGTGGGATTGTGGTCTAGTATTATGATCCGTATTTAGAAGATTCAAGCTCTTATTGTTTGCTTTGTTTATGTTAAAATCAGTTTTAGTCCCCCCTCCTTTACAACGGTCAAGGGTTTTGTTGTTTTCTTTCTTTGGGTTAAGATGTTGTAGGGATTGCCATCCATAAGAGAGTGACTTTTTTTTCAGTGTGTGATGTTTAGGAAGGTGTCCATGGTATTGTTTTTCGCATGAGGTTTTCTGGCTTTCCATGGTTAGGAGGTCAAATTCACTTGACCTACAATGACCTGGCCTTTGATGCGATTCAATGGAGCTTCCCTAGGCTTGCCTGACATATGACAGTGTATAAGTCATGCCAGACTCTTGTCTGATAACAATGGTTTTGTGGGGCTTTTCAGCTTTTTATTCAAAGCTTTGTTGTCAATCTTGAGTTTCATTTATTTTCCAAGCTGTTTAAAAATATCAAGAATCCCAGTGGCCTTTCAGCATCAGTTAAAAAGCTTAGGTTTTGTGTAATTGTTTGGAAGTTGAGGTACATTTTTGAACTTCTTGGTAGTTTAGAATTGTTTCTTAAGTGGCAGGTGCCTTTTTGCAGTTTTCCAGAATTTTAAGGAATGTTTTGCAAATTCAGAAACTTCAACAATTTTTTTCTTCTGAAACTAGGGTGTTCTAAGGACTACTTTGCGTGTTTAGTTCAGCCGCCCAGTTGCAATATCTAGTTCATTTGGAATTCTTTTCCAGGGTACACTTTTAGTACCAGTTGTTTTTTATCTGCACTCTTCACTCTGTCCCTTTTGTAGTGTCTGGATAGAGTAATGATGCATTGATGTAGAGGGGAGAAGAAGCAAAAATATTCAATTGCACCAGCCGATTTTTATACCGACATTAGTTGCTTTTGTGGCCTGTTGTGCTGACATCTATAGGACTTGTACCAGTTCATGACTAACGAATCACTGCCACACTTGCTTTGACTTATTGTTGAGCTGGTGTGATGCCTTCTGAACGTTGTTGGAATTTTGAATGGCTCGTCTATGCCGTCTGCAACCATGATTTTCTTGTGCATCTGGAGTTTGATCATGCCCTTGCTGTGTCACACCTCTTATTTAATATCGAGAATGCTTTTCACAATGCCATTCTTGAGGGGAAGTAATATATTACCAGCTCTATAGCTGTAAGAATTTCACATTTTAAATATTTTTAGGAGACTAGGGAAGTAAGGAGGAGCCACCTGGACTTTTTGGCCGTTTTCTTTTGTTTAGTCTATTTTAAAAAATATTTTCCAATTTGAGAAGTGTTGGCAGATAAGAATTATACATGTTAGGATTAGGTTTCAGTCAGGGTTTTCCATCTTTATTTGTCCGGTCTAGTTAGCCGATCCATTTACTCTTTCAATCTGGGGTTTTCAATCCCAACATGCCTTCGGATCGGGAGGAACTTGCATCTGGAGCCCATATCCTTTTGTATTTCATTCGATCTTCAGTTCCAATTTCGAAATCTATTTTTTGTCTATGCATCAAGTGTGGAATATTTGCATCTCTTCTCCAACTTGAGTGTCAAATTGTTGGGAGATCAGTTGGGGTTTTTCCATAGTTGTCGTGGTGCCACAGCGAATCATGACGATTACAGCCAACCGCCATTATGCCATGCTGTACATATGGCGACAAGTCTTTCTCTATATTTTAGTTACATGTGGATATATCATTACATTTACTTTATATAATGTTGGTTTGTTTATCCACAACTGGAAAAAGATCTATTGGGTCCATTATAATGAAATTTGTTTTTGTTTTGGTATTCTACTTTAAACAATCCATGAATGGTACCATTACCATAATTGGAATATCAAATATTAAATGTTTGACATAAAAATAAATAGCAAATGAGACTACAATATATCAGTATGATTTAATTATATGTTAATCATGCATAAAATAGCAAATAAAGTAACGAACTAATGTTACATAGCAAATAAAATAATAAATAGCAAACAAACTAATAAATACATAGTAGGTAATGCCATAAGGTTAAAGATTTCGTAATTACTTATTCATTATTAAAGTCAAAAACGGAATAGCGAATAAACTAATAATGTTATGGCAAAAAGTATACTAATAAATAAACTCATTGAGAAATTAAATTAATGAACCTGATTTAGTTTTCTTGTTAGTAAGTTGATAATATAATTAGTGTATAAAGTAATAAATAACAACTTATTAGTAATTGATTAATTATTTATTATTGTAGTGAAACATTAAACAACAAATAAACATACAAGGTAATTGTTACAGGTTTAGTTGGGCTGGATCGTAATGTAAATAAACCAAGTATTCTAAAAGTTTATTCCAGAAGGGCCAAAAGGGCAGAAAAGGGAAGTGGCTAGAAGTCGGTTAGAGGCGAGGGTTTAACCTTTAAATAGGAGGGAGGTAAAACGTTTTTTGGGCAGAGAATGTTTTTCCTAAGTTTCTCTTGGCTCTTGCATTAGTGCGGTGAGAGAGGGAGTATTCCCTGGTTCATTTTCTGTTCATGTAATTCCTTTCAATTTCAATCACATACAACCGATTTCTTCCTTCTTAATTTTTTAGTCGATCTTAATATGTTGGTTTCCATCATTGTCCGACCTACCTTGACCTTGGTGTGGAATCCATGGAAACTCGATCTCAATTGAACCGATTGGAGCAACATGAAGAACAGATTCAGAGGTTGCAATCAGATATCTAGGAAATCAAAGTGGGGATTCAAGCGTGGGAATCTGAGCGAGTGGAGGAAGCGTAGTTTCGTAAGATGATTATAGCGTGGGTGAAACAACAGGGTATTCAACACAACCGTGAGTTTGGAGGACCGTCTGGGGTCTCCACCGGATTCCCAATTACACAGACTCCTCAGGGGGCTCTGTCTCCACAACAAGGTGATAACTCAAACACTTCTGCTCCACGATTGGGCTCTTCCGATTTGTTACCATGGGCGGCGAAGAAAGTCAAATTGCCTGAATTCTATGGGTTCGATCCTCAGGGATGGATTCAGGCAATTTGACTTTTCTGAACAGAATTATACTTTGACATTCATGGTACACCATCTCACCTTCGAATTCGTCTTGCTCAATTAAGTATGGTGGGTGTAGCTCAACACTGGTTCAAATTGTGAAGCAGATTTACGATCCTCTTACGTCGGAACAATGTCCTTCGAACTACTCCAACGATTTTCGGGCTTGGAGATTCATAATCTGTTCGAACAATTGGCTACGATGAAACAAGTATCTTCTATTCACGATTACATAGACGATTTTGAATATTTGCTATCCTTGGTACCTCGATTACTTGAGACACAGACTCTGGGTTACTTTATTGCGGGTTTACGTGATGACGTGAAACGATGGGTACATCTCCATCGACCTCAGTCTCGTCTTGATGCCATGTATCTCGTTAAGGATATTGAAGAGATGCTTCGTACTTCTATTGGGAATATTTCCCAATCCCGGTTTTGATACCAGGCGAGAGGTGGGTTGGGCTTCTCTTTCCAATCAGATTTGAGATCCAACCCTCTAGGCCGTTACGAAAACAAGGGGCCCAATAGTTCTTTTTACAGTGAGAAGAGCCTACTTACACGCACTGATGTAGGTCGTATGCCCCTGAATCCGCGTACTACCGGCTCCTTCATCGGACTTTGGCCAATTGTTCAATTGCAATTGGGGTATTCGGTCTCTTACTCGTACAGAATGGGAGGAGCAACGCAAGAAAGGGTTGGGTTTCCGTTGTGGGCAGCAATTCAGTCCTGCTCACATGCCTCGAAGGGAAATTGCAGATTCTTCTCTTGGGCGACGATGAATCTGTAGACGGGAACGGTGGGCTTCAAACAGTAGAGACAATAGAGGAGGAAATTCCTCCAAATGTGAATCGTCTCCGGGTGGCAAAACCTTAAAGTTTCGGTGCTACTGCTGAATCGTCTCTGGGTGGCAAAACCTTAAAGTTTGAGGGGCAGTAGCTGGTGATTTTGGTGGACAGTGGAGCCATGCATAGTTTTATCTCACGAAAATTGGTGACCGCTTTAGGGTTATCTTTGGAATTTTTCGTTGGCATCAACATTCAGCTGGGCGATGGCCATAAAATCCTTATTAGTCAAATGTTGTATGCATCTTAAAGTTTGAGTGGGGACATGTGAATTCGAGGTGGAGGTGTTGGTATTTGACCTGGGGCATTTGGCATGGTTTTAGGCATGGAGTGGCTTAAGACTTCGGGAGAGGTGATCAATAACTGGGAACAGTTTTCCATGAAATTTGTATTCCAAGGGAAGTGCATCCAAGGCCTATCTAAAGTACAAGTCTCTCAAGCTTCTCTTCAAATGTGGTTGTCACTAGACAATCCTTCTCAAGGTTGTCTTCCAAGTACTGCTTCGTCTGGCCAAAATGAACAGGAGAAGGAGTTATCCTTCGCACAACAACAAGATTTACAATCCTTGTTCGGTTGTTTGACCGTTTTTAAGCAGTATTCTGGGATCCAACAGGATTACCCCTACGACGTGCTCACAATCACAGGATTTCTTTAATCAATTCTCATGAACCAATTTGTGTTCGGCCATATAGATATCCCCACGTTCAAAAGGCTGAAATTGAGAAGCGAGTAGAGGAACTTCTGAATCTTGGTATGATTCGACCAAGTAAAAGTGCTTTTTCCAGTCTAGTAATTCTGGTAAAAAAGAAAGATCAATCGTGGCGGATGTGTGGATTATCGTGCTCTCAACAAAGCCATGATACCTAATAAGTTTCCTATTCCGGTAGTCGAGGAACTTATTGATGAATTGAAGGATGCACTTTTTTTCCTCTAAATTGATTTGTAGTCCAGTTATAATCAAATCAGAATGCAGTAAGATAGCATTGATAAGACGGTGTTTCGCACTCTGGACGGTCATTGAGAGTATTTGGTAATGCCATTTGGGCTCACCAATGCACCGACAATCTTTTGAAGCTGTTATAAATGATATTTTTCGGCCATTTCTACGTAAATATGTGGTGGTTTTCTTTGATGATATCCTTATTTATAGCCCGACTTGGTCAAAGCATATGGAGGATTTATTGGTGGTGTTACACATTTTACTTGAAAGTTAATGTGGTAAATCGAAAAAAGTGTTCGTTTGTGCAATCATCGATTGATTACTTGGGTCATATTATAAGTGGCAAAGGAGTGTCAATGGATCCAAAAAAAAATTGAGGCTGTTTTAGATTGGCCAGTTCCAAAACAACTAAAAGGGTTACGAAGATTTTCGGGTCTTACGGGATATTATCGAAAGTTTATTCGCCACTATGGCAGCATTGGAAAACCACTCACTAATCTCACAAAGAAGGATGCCTCTTGTTGGAGCTTAGAAGCTCATCAAGTCTTCGAAACACTTAAGTTGCCATGGTGACGGCCCCACTATTGGCACTACTTGATTTTACTTAACCATTTATAGTCGAATGTGACACGTCGGGTAAAGGAATCGGAGTATTCTTAATGCAAGAACAATCTCCAATCGCTTACTTTAGCAAGGCTTTGAGTGAACACAAT